TCCAGGGGAGGATTACTGTTGATAGCACAAGGAGGGGGCAATCAACCGCGCTTCACTGCTGCTGCTTCACTCACCACGCACTCACTCGCCACTTTGGAGGACAGTCTAGATGACCAGTTCTACCCAATCACACTATCCGACCCTAACCACCTCACACCTCCCTAATAAGAAAGCAAAACGTGGCTATTCATCCTCTGTACTAATCACTTTTCATCAAAAGAGAGAGTTGGTTGCAAAAAAAATCTCATCTAACACCTGCGGTTATAATTGCAATCAAGGTAAACAATGCTCTTGCCAAAGAAGCATTTTCAAGCACTGCTATTTTTGAAATAGCGGTGACTGATCTTACAAAACAGAGCACTTAACCACTTCATGTTGAGAGTCAAGCTGATCCATTGCTCGAAAAATACTACCACATGCAACAGGGACAGTTTTTCCAAAACAGTATAATACCATTCCAGGGTATGCCTCTGTGTTTGTCTCTGTTTGGATCTATGGCATCAGCTTACCCATGTGATTTGTTTCCAACTACGACCTAGCAAACAGTCCCTAGAGACAAAAATAGTGATTCCAGGGGTCAGCGATTTAACTCTGTATCCACTCTCCCTTTAATGGAAGCCAGAGTTTTTTTCTGTCAAACAATTATCTTGAGATTCTATTTTAATGTTAACAATATCTATTGCCACTAGTGGCAAACAGTTTACCAGAAGTAGTTTCTGGTGAACACATGAGTTTGAAGACCAGTAACCGTTGACGACCAGTCAAGGGGAGAAGACAAATCAGTTGGAAATGGAAACTAAGCGATCTACCTACCAAAGTTGTCCAGTGAGTGTCTAACTTATTAATACACTTTCAAATTGTGTTAGCCTGGTTAGCAATGTCATGTTTTATGGGATAGAATCACACACATTCTGTTGGTATATCAATTTCAACCTGCCAGCACCACTGACTGGCTAGCTAGCTAACTAGGGCTAGCGCTTAGCTAGCTATGATATTTATGCACAATGAGTGTGATAGCTACTAGCTAGCTAGCTAACTAATGATTTGCCAGATATTTAAAAAACATACATTTGTAGGTGAAGTTGCTGTCTTTTAATACCAATATCCATGTCAATATGCTATTGTCACTGTTCAGTAGCATGTTAGCTAGCACATCAGCTAGTGTAGCTAGCAACAATATGAGCTGACTTGACATTAAAGCAACAATGTCATTTTTGCAGATGGATATCCTTCCCCTAGCCATGGTGTTGGAAGAAGCTGTAATGGGAAGAGAATGCATCAACACGGTGGAAATATGTTTGTGGTGCATTCACACATGACACTTTTTTTGAGTGATAAATGATTGTATCATCTTCAAGCTTGATAAGGTAAGCAAATGCATGTATTATTCTCATAAATGTAGCCAATACTTTCATTCTTTCTAAAAATGTTATCTTTCATTGCTTTCAACTAGTAGCTAACTCATCTTGATCATGTGTTCCCATATGAAAAAATATTATAGTATACTGTAGTATTATTATATTTACAGTGCATTTGGAAAGTATTCAGACCCCTTCCCTTTTTCCAAATTTTGTTACGTTACAGCCTTATTCTAAATGGATGAAATAAAAAAAGTCCTCATCAATCTACACCCAATATAAATGTATTGAACATTTAAAACAGAAATACCTTATTTACCCTAAGTGTTCAGACCCTTTGCTATGAGACTTGAAATTGAGCTCAGGTGCATTCTGTTTCCATTGATTCTCCTTGAGATGTTTCTACAACTTGATTGGAGTCCACCTGTGGTAAATGAAATTGATTGTACATGATTTGGAAAGGCACACACCTGTCTATATCAGGTCCCACAGTTGACAATGCATGTCAGAGCAAAAACCAAGCCATGAGGTTGAAGGAATTGTCCGTAGAGCTCAGAGACAGGATTGTGTCGAGGCACAGATCTGGGGAAGAGTAGCAAAAAATGTCTGCAGCATTGAAGGTCCACAAGAAAACAGTGGCCTCCATCATTCTTAAATGGAAGAAGTTTGGAACCACCAAGACTCTTCCTAGAGTTGGTCGCCCAGCCAAATTGAGCAATCAAGGGACAAGGGCCTTGGTCAGGGAGGTACCTAAAGGACTCTCTGACCATGAAAAACACGATTCTCTGGTCTGATGAAACCAAGATTGAACTCTTTGGCCTGAATGCCAAGCATCACGTCTGGAGGAAACCTGGCACCATCCCTACGGTGAAGCATGGTGATGGCAGCATCATGCTGTGGGGATGTTTTTCAGCAGCAGGGACTGGGAGACTAGTCAGGATTGAGGGAAAGATGAACGGAGCAAAGTGCAGAGAGAACCTTGATGAAAACCTGCTCCAGAGTGCTCAGGACCACAGACTGGGGTGAAGGGTCACCTTCCAACAGGACAACGACCCTAAGCACACAGCCAAGACAATGCAGGAGTGGCTTCGGGATAAGTCTCTGAATGTCCTTGAGTGTCAGCCAGAGCCCAATCGAACATCTCTGGAGAGACCTGAAAATAGCTGTGCAGTGATGCTCCCCATCCAACCTGACAGAGCTTGAGAGGATCTCCAGAGAAGAATGGGAGAAACTCCCCAAATACAGGTGTGCCAAGCTTGTAGCGTCATACCCAAGAAGACTCAAGGCTGTAATCGCTGCCAAAGGTGCTTCAACAAAGTACTGAGTAAAGGGTCTGAATACTTATGTAAATGTAATATTTTATTTTTATTTTAAATAAATTTGTAAAGGATTCTAAAAACCAGTTTTTGCTTTGCATTATGGGGTATTGGGTGTTGATTGATGAGGGAAAAAACGAGTTAATACATTTTAGAATAAGGCAGTAATGTAACAAAATGTGGAAAAAGTCAAGGGGTCTGAATACTTCCCGAATGCACTGTATATACTATAGTATTCACTGTAGTGTTTTTGCAGACTTTACTGTAGTATTTACTGTAGTGTTTTTGTGGACTGTAGTATAGTGTAGTATTTACTGTGGTGTTCTTACGGACATTACTATAGTATACTGTAGTATTTACTTCAGTGTTTTTGTTGACATTACTGTAGTGTACTGTAGTATTTACTGTAATGTTTTTTTATTTATTACCTTTTGTTTATTATCTTTTTAATTACATATCTTTTTGCATCTTTTTGGGGCTTTCTCCTTGAGGAAACGTACTGGTCAAACATTAAACAAGTAAATTGTCCATAACATGTAGGACTGTGGTCTGACCGGTTAGGTTCAGCGCTTCTGCTCTTTTCTATAACCTGTAGGGAACACAATATCTGGTCTATACTTGGCGTGTAGGTTTTTCAGTTATAGGTGGCACAAATTGGGATATGGAGGAGGGGAATGGGCAGGGCATATACAGATTAAATATTAGCATGTCAATACAGTGTGTGGTATAGTATTTTACAGTATACTACAGTTAACTACAGTTTACTATAGAATTATATAGTAAGTACTATAGTGTGTTATGTGGGTTGTTCCTTCTTTGTTTGTTTCTAGAAGCAACCAGGCAAAAAGACAGATTGCCAAGCCTGCCCATTAGCTACTGAGTCTATTAAGTTGTCAAAATAGAAAATGTTTTCAGTAATTATTAATGATGCTTTGTTTTTTCTGATTGTTTAAGTGCATGCATTCAACAAACTTTGGACAAAGGACTTCCACAGGGCCGCAATCTCAAATGCTCACTCAAAGTCAATAGCTCTGAACTGGGTTTGAAAGCTCATTGCTCAGTTATCACTTGGCCCACATAGTTTCTGTAGTTGCCCCTTTAAACATCCTAAGGTCAACATCCCCATAGTGTTCACATTTCTCACATGTAAATGTTATAGCTACTATACATAAAAAGATTACATAAACAATTTATTTGAGAAATATTCAGTCTTTGCCCTTTTCTTCACTAGCATACTCATGATTTCAAAGTTAATATTGTAGCACTTGACGTAATGTTTTCAATGTGAGATAAGAAAGTTGCATTGGATTTTTTTGTATCTGTTAATACACTGAATACATGTTGTTAAGTATATGTAGTATATTAAGTAGGAAGGCTTCTTTTCATTGAAATATACATTAAGCATTAAGTCAAGGACTCTATTATTATAATTATTTTTATGACAGTAAAACACTTCAAAAACACTTCAACCTGTGCTGAGACACATACAAAATTGACTAGAGATTCAAGTGGGTGGCTGGTAAGTTATCAAATCAAATTTTATTTGTCACGTGCCGAATACAACAGGTGTAGACTTTACCGTGAAATGCTTCTTACTTACGAGCCCTTTCCCAACAATGCAGAGTTAAAAAGTACAAAAAAATTGCAAAATAAAAAGGAATTAAATGACAATAACGAGGCTATATACAAGAAGTACCAGTACCGAATGTGCAGGGGTACCAGATAGTTGAGGTGAGGTAATATGTATATGTGGGTAGGGTAAAAGTGACTAGGCAATCAGGATAGATAATAAACAGAGTATCAGCAGCGTATGTGAAGAATGTGAGAGTGTGAAAGTGTTTTTCTATGTGTTAGTGTGTGTGTGTATGTGTGTGCGCGTGTGGCATCAATATGCATGTGTGTGTGTTTTGTGTGTGTTGGAGTGTCAGTGTAGTATGTGTGAGTCCAGTGGGTGTGCATAGAGCCAGTGCAAGAGAGTCAGTGCAAAAAAAAAAGGGGGTCAATGCAAATAGTCCGGGTAGCCATTTGATTAACTGTTCAGCAGTCTAATGGCTTGGGGGTAGAAGCTGTTCAGAAGCCTTCTGGTCCCAGACTTGGTGCTCCAAGATGAGAGGTTGTTGTTCTGGCACCACACTGCCAGGTCTCTGACCTCCTCCCTATAGGATGTCTCATCATCGTCTGTGATCAGGCCTAACACCATCGTGTCGTCGGCAAACTTAATGATGGTGTTGGAGTCGTGCGCGGCAACACAGTCGTGGGTGAACAGGAAGTACAGGAGGGGACTAAGCATGCACCCATGTTGAGTGTCAGCGTGGCGGATGTGATGTTACCTACCCTCACCACCTGGGGGTGGCCCATCAGGCAAGTTAGGCTTGATGCTTGAGTTTACGCATAATGTGTCCATGTGCAGAGCGTGTACAAACAACGAAACTACTGGAAAATATCAGTTAGAAACAAATATGCCAATCTTTGGTAAGAAAATAGACTTGCATTGGCTTGCATGACGGGAAATGAGATTCCATAGTGTGTCTCTGTGGTTCTGTTGCCCTCTGGTGTGAAGACGTGTCCATTGTGTGTCTAGGGCAGTGTAGAATGGCATCAACATTGCATTTCACATTAAAAAAGCAGGTTATGAACATGTGGTCACTTCTTTGCCATTTACTTAATTGAATGTAGTTAAAAAAGTATGGCGTTGAAGACAAGTTGTTTCATGTTTGTTTTTAAAGAAAATTGAAGGCAACATCATGATCAAATCCATTGTGCTGTTTGCTCCAATATTGTTTTTTACAGAATAGTTTCACAATAATTGAGAGTGAAATTATATCAAAAATGATCAATCATTAGCATTGTGAAGCCTCCCTTTTTTATCTCAATATGTGTCATGTCAAAGCTTCTCCACTAGAGGGAGTAGTCCACCAGGCTCTACCCCAGTCGTTTTCCAGGAGTCTCCTACAAAAAGCAAACTCTTCTCCAACATACAGTATAAGGGCACCGCAGTCAAATTCATTATCACGAAAGGCAAAGAAAATATATATATATAAAAAAAATATTATCCTTTCAACTTCAAGCACTAGACAGTTGCATTATTCAGGACTTCAGAGCACCTCAGACATTTTATTGTCTATACGTTCTCCCATTGTGACTTAATTCATGTCCATGGCTTATCCCACTTGACAGTTCATCTCATAGGACTCAAAGGACCATGGGGGATTTGGTACAGTACTTATTCCTCAGGTCTGTATCCATCTCGGATGAAGCCATTCCTCATGTCTCTGTCCAGTGGAAGGCTTTGTTGTCCAGGATTGTGGCCAGTTTGTGGTTGAATGGCTGGTGGAACTCCCTGAGGAGGTCCCTGGTGCTGGGCAGCATGGGGCCCAAGCTCCTGTCTGCTGCCCTCCGTGTGTTGGACATGGGCCTCTTGGTGAGAGCTGCCTCCATCTGCTCAGATAAAGGCCCTGAGGAACATGCAGTACAAATCGGCACATAGAGGATCAGCAGATGTTGAAATGCACACAGAGGAAGAAGCAGACATGTACATGCATCAACAACATTGTGTCCTAGCTCTGAACACACCTAGGATGTTGATGTAGAATTCAATCGAATAACTGTTTTTTTTTCCGGTACGTACCCACGTTTAGGAAGTCAAAGACTTTATGTATGGTGAGTCTCAGATTAGCAGCGTAGCCTTCTAACTGCAGAACTAGGATCTGATCCCTATGGAACACAGTCAACCAGTCCAGTAGGAAGACAATATATAGTCCCAGGTTCAGTCTGACCTGGAGAGGATCACAACAAACACTGCATGTAAGACTTCCATTAGATTTACATAACTTCTACCAAGGATTCATTGTTAAGGTGGAGAACAAGCTACATGCTATAGGAATACTGGTGAGATAAAGGCACAGCATGACTCCTGTTAACAGTACGCAAGCTAACCTGCAGTGAGTGCTAGAGACCAACCGACAAAAGTAATTATGTCTCTGCAGATGCAGCAGAGAGAGAGGAGGCACCTTCTGAGAGGATGAACTTTACATTTTGACATCGAGCTAGGCTGAAATATTTTTTAAATGATCATAAGCTCAACAGCATGGATTCAGAAGTAAAATGTAAAACGGGGAGCTACTGTAGGTCGACATCCATGTCGGTCGACAATGACATCCACGGTGCTGAACATTTTACTTATGTGCCTTAATAGGTACACACGGAACTCTGAGCACCATGTTGGCACTAATACAATAACATTACTACCACAAATCAGGCTGAGATGCATGTAGAACAATGTGAACAGTACTGTGTATATCTGGCTGTAGGTATCTAGTGATTTGTGCTTTTCCTATGTAAACTAGCTGTGCCCCAGACTATGACAGCTGCAGCCAAGTAAGGAAATGTTTACAGCATTAAAACTTGTGGACCCAAGGAAGAGTAGCTGCTGCATGTGCAACAGCTAATGGGGATCATAATAAACTAAACAAAGCATACATACTGTGCCTGTATAAAACTGAGCCAATATCAATTTAAAACAGTAAGATAATATAATTTCTAGAAATAAATTCCAATATTTCCAGAGACGACTACTTCCTAAATGACTTACAGTAAGTGCATCTCAGTTGAATCAGTTCTGAAAGGAAACTTCACGGTTCTTGATTAGTTAATGAGTAATCAAGTCAGTAGATCTACTGTCGCATATGTCAAAGCATTTTTTCACCACCTTCCAGGAAGTGGCCGTGATTTCAATAACAAATCCTATTAGACATGGAAAATAAAAGGCCTGAGTTATGGATCGTAATTTGGCATGGAATCAATCTAGTTAAGGCCTGGAAAAAGATTCATAACATGGCATAGACAAAGCCATCTCTGTTTAACTTTGTATGCACTTTGACTACATAATCAGATCTCTTAATAAATGCAGTCAAACAAAGTGTTTCTTCTTGCTTTTGCACAATATTGACTTATATTTCCATCTAGACAATACACTATCCACCAAGAACAGTGATACAACAGGATATTGCATTCCAATGCATTTACCTTGAATACCTTTGGTAGTGCTGAGGGGGGGGGGGGGGGGGGGGGGGGGTTCTGTTATTAAACAACTGATTGACCAATGTCAGTTAAATTACTTGAATTTCATTTAGTTCGTTTTTTTATGTGCTCAACACTCTATTTCTCTAGAGAGTAATAAAATAATTCAAGACAGAAATTGAGTCAAGAACTATGTGGGATGCTGGATTAAAGGCACATTGTGGTTGTAGTTTTCATTAGGCAAATATTCAACCTAGTTCAGAAGAGAAACATGGTAATTAACTACAATTACTATAATCCATTGTGCCTGTTCTTCCCGGCTCAGACAGAGATGGATAGCCTACACACAGACCGCATGAGAGAGGAATGTACACAACACAATGATGAGAGATATAGAGAAGGTTTGTGAGGTAGCTCTACCCCATTGATAGTTGTAGTAGTTGGTAATAAGCAGTCTTGAAAGTATTGGGACAGTGACAATGTTGTTGTTGTTATGGCTCTGTACTCCAGCACTTTGGATTTGAAATGATACAATGACTATGAGATTAAAGTGCAGACTGTCAGTTTCAATAAGTATTTGGTCCCATATTCATAGCACGCAATGACTACATAAAGCTTGTGACTCTACACATTTGTTGGATGCATTTGCTGTTTGTTTTGGTTCAGATTATTTTGTGACCAACAGAAATTAATGGTAAATAATGTATTGTGTCATTTTGGAGTCACTTTTATTGTAAATTAGAATAGAATATGTTTCTAAACACTTCTACATTAATGTGGATACTACCATGACTACGTATATTCCTGAATGAATCGTGAATAATGATGAGTGAGAAAGACGCACAAATGTCATACCCCCAAGACACGCTAACCACTCACCATTACAACAGGGGAGGATGTTAGCATCTCTTGGGGGTATGATATTTGCATCTGTAACTTTCTCACTCATCATTATTCACGATTATTTGTATAATTTCATCCAAAGTGCTGGAGTACAGAGCCAAAACAACAACAAACACTTCACTGTCCCAATACTTTTTGGAGCACACTGTAATTGAAGAACTTGTAAAATGATTTCGTTAGACAGCTCTCCAATGTGGACGTGACAGAGACAATGGAATGTTTTGGAAATTGAATGTTCACTATTTTTGGCTTTGGAATTTCCATTAAAAAGCTCTAAATTATTTTAATGTCATTATTTCATAATGCATTTAATGTAAAAATTATAATTCTAAACCGAAATCCGTCATTATTTTTTTATAACCGAACCGACCTCAAAAAGCACTAATCACTAATCGCTCAACACGAACCTACAATTAGAGAGTTTTGTACATTTTCAATGCCAGCAATAAGAGTAATGTATGCTAAATGGCATATGTATTACTTTTCATAAGAGTCCCACTCACCGGCATGGCATTGGAGAGGCTAGTGTTGTAGACACAGGAACGCACAGAGTTTTCTGCTAAACAAGCCTGAAACAGCTGTAGGGATTCTGAGACCCTCAGGTCAAAGTCCTCCACAGACTTGTTAGCCATGTTGAAGTACAGGTAGTCTGAATATAACCTAAACCACAGGGAGACACACACACCAACCAGAAAACATACTTTCTTCAGTTACATTGACCAAATGCACAGACCTTGCTATAGTGAAAACTGTGACAGCATGCCAAAACATTACTGAGTCCTACAGGTGTAGGACTTAATTTGATCATCCTGTTGTGTGAGAATGGTGTAGTCAAGGTTTAAAAAGGCTTCTAAAGTTTGTAAATTCCACTTAAAAATGTCAGACATGATTTGCCCTAACAAAACATTTATCAACCCCCTACAAAAATGTCCATTAATTACAATCCACATAATCATTTAAATGTCCTGTTGTTGCAGGATTATTTTCCTGCTGTGAGAAACTGGTCAAATTAAGATTCCCACATACACTACCAGTCAAACGTTTTAGAACACCTACTCATTCAAGGGTTTTTCTTTATTTTTACTATTTACTACATTATAGAATAATAGTGAAGACATCAAAACTATGAAATAACACATATGGAATCATGTAGTAACCAAAAAAGTGTTGAACAAATCAAAATACACTACTGGTCAAAAGTTTTAGAACACCTACTCATTCAAGGGTTTATCTGTATTTTTTATATTTTCTACATTGTAGAATAATAGTAAAGACATCAAAACTATGAAATAACACATATGGAATCATACAGTAACCAAAAAAGTGTTAAACAAACCTAAATATATTTTATATTTCAGATTCTTCAAATAGCCACCCTTTGCCTTGATGACAGCTTTGCACACTCTTGGCATTCTCTCAACTAGCTTCACTTGGAATGCTTTTCCAACAGTCTTGAAGGAGTTCCCACATATGCTGAGCACTTGTTGGCTGCTTTTCCTTCACTCTGCGGTCCAACTCATCCCAAACCATCTCAATTGGGTTGAGGTCGGGGGATTGTGGAGGCCAGGTCATCTGATGCAGCACTCCATCACTCTCCTTCTTGGTAAAATAGCCCTTCACAGCCTGGAGGTGTCTTGGGTCATTGTCCTGTTGAAAACAAATGATAGTCCCACTAAGCCCAAACCAGATGGGATGGCGTATCGCTGCATAATGCTGTGGTAGCCATGCTGGTAAAGTGCACCTTGAATTCTAAATAAATCAAATACACTGTCACCAGCAAAGCACCCCCACACCATAACACCTCCTCCTCCATGTTTTACTTTGGGAACCACACATGCAGAGATCATCCGTTCACCTACTCTATGTCTCACAAAGACACGGCGGTTGGAACCAAAAATCTCAAATTTGGACTCATCAGACCAAAGGACAGATTTCCACCGGTCTAATGCCCATTGCTCGTGTTTCTTGGCCCAAGCAAGTTTCTTCTTCTTATTGGTGTCCTTTAGTAGTGGTTTCATTGCAGCAATTCGACCATGAAGGCCTGATTCACACAGTCTCCTCTGAACAGTTGATGTTGAGATGTGTCAGTTACTTGAACATTTATTTGGGCTGCAATTTCTGAGGCTGGTAACTCTAATGAACTTATCCTCTGCGGCAGAGGTAACTCTGGGTCTTCCATTCCTGTGGCGGTCCTCATGAGAGTCAGTTTCATCATAGCTCTTGATGTTGTTTTTTTTCGACCGTATTGACTGACCTTCATGTCTTAAAGTAATGATGGAATGTCGTTTCTCTTTGCTTATTTGAGCTGTTCTTGCCATAATATGGACTTGGTCTTTTACCAAATAGGGCTATCTTCTGTATACCCCCCCCCCCCACACACACACACACACACACACACCTTGTCACAACACAACTGATTGGCTCAAACATATTAAGAAGGAAATAAATTCCACAAATTAACTTTTAACAAGGCACACCTGTTAATTCAAATCAAATCAAATCTAATTTTATTGGTCACATGCGCCGAATACAACAGGTGCAGACATTACAGTGAAATGCTTACTTACAGCCCTTAACCAACAGTGCATTTATTTAAAAAAAATAAAAACAAAAAAAACAAAAAAAGTGTTGAGAAAAAAAAGAGCAGAAGTAAAATAAAGTGACAGTAGGGAGGCTATATATACAGGGGGGTACCGTTGCAGAGTCAATGTGCGGGGGCACCGGCTAGTTGAGATAGTTGAGGTAATATGTACATGTGGTAGAGTTAAAGTGACTATGCACAAATACTTAACAGAGTAGCAGCAGCGTAAAAAGGATGGGGTGGGGGGGCAGTGCAAATAGTCTGGGTAGCCATGATTAGCTGTTCAGGAGTCTTATGGCTTGGGGGTAGAAGCTGTTGAGAAGTCTTTTGGACCTAGACTTGGCACTCCGGTACCGCTTGCCGTGCGGTAGCAGAGAGAACAGTCTATGACTAGGGTGGCTGGAGTCTTTGACAATTTTGAGGGCCTTCCTCTGACACCGCCTGGTATAGAGGTCCTGGATGGCAGGAAGCTTTGCCCCAGTGATGTACTGGGCCATACGCACTACCCTCTGTAGTGCCTTGCGGTCGGAGGCCAAGCAGTTGCCATACCAGGCGGTGATGCAACCAGTCAGGATGCTCTCGATGGTGCAGCTGTAGAATTTTTTGAGGATCTGAGGACCCATGCCAAATCTTTTCAGTCTCCTGAGGGGGAATAGGCTTTGTCGTGCCCTCTTCACGACTGTCTTGGTGTGTTTGGACCATGATAGTTATTTGGTGATGTGGACACCAAGGAACTTGAAGCTCTCAACCTGTTCCACTACAGCCCCGTCGATGAGAATGGGGGCGTGCTCAGTCCTCTTTTTTTTCCTGTAGTCCACAATCATCTCCTTTGTCTTGGTCACGTTGAGGGAGAGGTTGTTGTCCTGGCACCACACGGCCAGATCTCTGACCTCCTCCCTATAGGCTGTCTCATCGTTGTCGGTGATCAGGCCTACCACTGTTGTGTCGTCGGCAAACTTAATGATGGTGTTGGAGTCGTGCCTGGCCATGCAGTCATGGGTGAACAGAGAGTACAGGAGGGGACTGAGCACGCACCCCTGAGGGGCCCCCGTGTTGAGGATCAGTGTGGCAGATGTGTTGTTACCTACCCTTACCACCTGGGGGCGGCCCGTCAGGAAGTCCAGGATCCAGTTGCAGAGGGAGGTGTTTAGTCCCAGGATCCTTAGCTTAGTGATGAGCTTAGAGGGCACTATGGTGTTGAATGCTGAGCTGTAGTCAATGAATAGCATTCTCACGTAGGTGTTCCTCTTGTCCAGGTGGGAAAGGGCAGTGTGGAGTGCAATAGAGATTGCATCATCTGTGGATCTGTTGGGGCGGTATGCAAATTGGAGTGGGTCTAGGGTTTCTGGGATAATGCTGTTGATGTGAGCCATGACCAGCCTTTCAAAGCACTTCATGGCTACAGACGTCAGTGCTACGGGTCGGTAGTCATTTAGGCAGGTTATCTTAGAGTCCTTGGGCACGGGGACTATGGTGGTCTGCTTGAAACATGTTGGTATTACAGACTCAGTCAGGGACATGTTGAAAATGTCAGTGAAGACACTTGCCAGTTGGTCAGCACATGCTCGGAGTACACGTCCTGGTAATCCGTCTGGCCCTGCGGCCTTGTGAATGTTGACCTGCTTAAAAGTCTTACTCACATCGGCTACGGAGAGCGTGATCACATAGTCATCCGGAACAGCTGGTGCTCTCATGCATGCTTCAGTGTTGCTTGCCTCGAAGCGAGCATAGAAGTGGTTTAGCTCGTCTGGTAGGCTTGTGTCACTGGGCAGCTCGCGGCTGTGCTTCCCTTTGTAGTCTGTAATAGTTTTCAAGCCCTGCCACATCCGACGAGCATCAGAGCCAGTGTAGTACGATTCAATCTTAGTCCTGTATTGACTCTTTGCCTGTTTGATGGTTCGTCGGAGGTCATAGCGGGATTTCTTATAAGCGTCCGGGTTAGAGTCCCGTTCCTTGAAAGCGGCAGCTCTACCCTTTAGCTCAGTGCGGATGTTTCCTGTAATCCATGGCTTCTGGTTGGGGTATGTACGTACGGTCAATTGAAATGCATTCCAGGTGACTACCTCATGAAGCTGGTTGAGAGAATGCCAAGAGTGTGCAAAGTTGTCATCAAGGCAAGGGGTAGCTATTTGAAGAATCTCAAATATAAAATATATTTTGATTTGTTTAACACTTTTTTGGTTACTACATGATTCCATATGTGTTATTTCATAGTTGTGATGTCTTCACTATTATTCTACAATGTAGAAAATAGTAAAAAATAAAGAAAAACCCTTGAATGAGTAGGTGTTCTAAAACCTTTGACCGGTAGTGTATGTACCTCTCTACTGGGTCTCTGAGCATGACAATGATTTTTGCGTTGGGCTGAACTGCGTGGATGAAGTCCTGGGCCAGGAAAGGAGGCTCCCCAGCCCGGTCGTTATAGAGATAGCTCCAGGCTTGGTTGTCCCACATCGTGGATGCGCTTGCTTCACCTGTCAATCAAACTGATTTTGTGATACCCATTATGCGATTACACTTAAAACTGCATATAACACAACAGTGGTAGCCTCTCATAATTCCTAAATAACACTGGACTTTATGATGGCTTTAGCAACAATATTCTACTTCAAAACCTTGTCCTTAATGGTCCGTATTGAGTGTTGGCATTATCGTGCTGATTAGTGCAGAGCCAATTAAGAGGGAATGGAGTGAATAAATAGAGTGAGAGAACTGATAATGGGGGAGAGGAGAAACAAACAGTCTTCTGGTGTTAATCAGGGTCAAAGGTTCTGGACTGGCTGTGAATAGTGAAGGTGGTTTGTAATCACACAACATATCCTTCTCACAAACAAACACACACAAGTTTGTTGAAAGGAGTACATCCCAATACTTTTTTATTTGATTATAATTCAAGATGTATCCTGTAGATAGAAATGACCTACGATGACCTGTAGGTTACCTGTAATAATGTGTCGCTGACTGTGGTCTCCAGAGGTATTCCCCAGTATTCCCTCCTGGATGTGGTAGGCAGCCAGTTCAAACAGGTCCAGGTAGTCCTCCACAGGGAAACGCTCCAGGAGGCCATCTTTAAGATGGATGATACCTGCAAGGGAGAGCAATACCATGGTCAATGACGTCATCAAATTTCACTACCGTCCACTCCCATCTATGATCTATCATAGACTTTCTCAAAGTGTTGTACTAAAACTTCTCTGTCAGCCAAAGGTGATCAAAGACAGAGTAAGTTCTGTCCATATTTTCACACTTGTCAGAGCTCAGAGAAGATCAAGACTTCATACTAGATCGCCCCAGGAGACCTGATGTAGCTGCCTTTCTGATTCAATTGTCAGCATAAAGATCAACATCCCAAATAATTTCCCCCTGCTGCTTTGAACGCCCACAAACCCACTTGGCGATGGAGCCTGCAATCAATGCACTCTGTGTGATCAACAGTATAGCTCTCCTCAGAGTGCGATCTGACACCTACGCTGCCTTTCAGACTCTGAAACATCTCATTCAACTAGAGGAATTACAACAGACACTAGTCTGGAGGGCTGGACCTGGTCTCATCCATCACCCATACACTACAGTAGAGGTCCAGAACAACACTTACTCTCTCTGTACAAATCTACAAGTTTCATAGTTGGAGGTTTTGAAAAATAACAGTAGGGAACATTATAAGTGGACAATTAACATAGAATATGGGTTTTCATTCTGTTATATTGTTACTAGTGTACAGTCTAGAATGTAGGTACAATAATTAGGAAAAGAGGCACACAGTATTACCTCAAAATAGATATAATATGAATATAAATGGAAAGAAGATATTCCACATATCACTGGTGGTTCCCCCTAGAAATGTATTTTGGCAGGGTGAAAAGGCTGTTGAAGCCAATAAAAGTGTTTCATCCAAATCAATGGAAGCCAAGTTCTTTGGCAGCTCTACCAAAGTGAAGACGGGGGACTAGTGCTTACCAAACCTTTTCCTTGTCCACCAGTGGGGCTCTTTCATGGTGGTGAACTTGACCTCCGGGTGTAGCAGCAGACGGTGAAACAGGTCCGTTGTGCCACATTTGGGCTGGCCAATGATGTAGAAATATGGCAGACAGCGCAGACGGTATTGCTTGTCGTCTTCGCTGTGGTACAAGTGTTCCTGGAAATGATTCCTTAGGTAGTCACAGACAGTCCGGAAGCTCTTGGAGCGAACTGCATACAAGTTTTTCCTGTAAGGATCCACTTTGGTTTTCCCAGAGAGCTCCTCATACCAGCATGGACTCTTGATATTGGGGAGAAATTGACGAGGAATAACGGAAAACAACTGGGAAGTACAAAACAGATACAATGTCAAAATACTTTTCAAACACTTCTAGACAATTGTAATGAAGCTATTATCTTATTTGCTTTTATAAATGATTGAAAGGATTTTTGCCCTGAGACAAAACAGCACACATGAAACAACAGGCCAGACACTTTGCTCATACTCACATGAGAGTCACTATTGACAACGTCCTTCAGTAGAGGCAGCTTCCTTGGGCTGAACTCAAGCTTAGATGTAATGCACTTCACCAGGAGCTTAATGTTGGCATAGTCCTTGGTAGAGGACAGGTTATGGGAGAGGGTGCTGCTGGGGTTGATTATAGTCCTGAGGTGGAACGGTGACAGGGTCAGCATCAAACCCTTTTTATCCCAGGTTAAAATGTAAGAAGCCATGATGAGGAAGGTCAACGTCAATCCTAGCAGGAAGCTGATAACCTTGACCTTTGTGACACTCCTCAGGGTCCCCAAAGACCACAGACGAACCCGCCTCACCTCTAGGACACTGGGCAGGCCTCTGCGGCCATCATCCCCATCGTCCAAAGAAGGCATTGTGGGTCTCTTCCTGTAGTTCTCAACTTCCATAGGGCAGGGTGGACCATATTTGTAGTCCATTTGAGGAATGGCGCCATCTTTGTAGTCTGTGAGAGACATTCTGTAGACAGGATGGAACAGGGCTGTAGGGAGGGGGATGGGGATGTCAGAGGGGAGGGACTTCGAGGCACATCTACCGTCAAGGCACATCTATTGTGGGATGGGAGGTGTGTGGAGGAGCAATGGAGGGTTCATCCATCATGACTGCTCCAAATGTTGCTGTAGGCACACCAGGTACTGTACCACCACATACGTTGCTTAAAATAGAGGACACTTTAGGACACGGCAATTCTCAATGTATCTTTAATTAGTTTTTTCCCCTTCAATGGTGTAGTGTTTTTGGGGGCCCTGGACTTTGTTATAGACAGCTCACAGCTGTTTCCTGACCAGGTGCTAAGTATTATTCCAGGATGAGGGTTCAGTTAGGGGCGATCGAGCATGTGAGACATCTCAGATTAATTATTCTTCCTCCACTAGCAAGGGTGACTTCAGCCCAATTACTCATGACAACCTCACAGGCAGCTCATAGTAGAGAGAGTGCGAGTTCTTGTCAGATAATGCTCCCCTGCTTTACGGATAAGGATCATAGAGTTGGTACAAAAGTTTATAATGCGAGAGCATAATGGTACGTCTGCACCTTCATCCTCTGCATTTGGGGCTTATCAATGTCCTTAGAAGACCGTTTCATGACTATAGGCTAAAATAAACATTGACATTTTAGAACACGCCAGATCTCTATCCTACAGGGAAATGAAACGTTGATCCATGAAAATGTTATGTTTTGGAGATAAAATGTTTTCTTGTGAAACTAACAGTATACTGTATTGATACAGGTGGACGAGCAGTGCTGCAAAGTCTTTCCTTCAAGTTAGAGAGAGAAAGCGAGTATTATTTCTGGACCTGTGTGTTGAAGAATTCCAGACACAGGACCGACCAAATGTTTCAAAAACTATTCCATCACACTTCCTGGAGCCATAATTCATTCTGCTTTCTTTTCTTCCTGAGTTTATAACCGTTAACAATTTCTCTGGACGCTGAAATTAATCCCCAGCCCAGATACAGTGAATTACAGTTGGTACATTCAATGATTTCACAGTGTTATTCCTCATTGCATAAATGTTGTTCTATTCACTCTTGGGCCTTATTAAACAGAGACCACTAAACACTTCAGTGATTTTAAATAATCACATATTATATACTGTATATCACTGGCTGTCAAAAACTGTGGGTTACACTTTACTTGAGCCATGTGTTATACAACCTATAGCGTACAGCAATTAAAAACACATTTAGTTAAAAGACACATTCAATGTATAATATGATACACTATATGCCATTTAGAATACGCTTTTATCCAAAGCGACTTACAGTCATGCATGCATACATTTCTTACATATGGGTGGTCCCAGGAATCAAACCCACTATCCTGGCATTGCAAGCGCCATGCTCTACCAACTGAGCTATGCATCATTATGTAGTATAAAGGTTTGTATCGTACTTACAAGGTCTCAGCTGAATGTGTTCTTCCCCTGGTCTTGGTCTTGGTGTTGCTGATGGAGAGGGTCTCCTGTCCACTTTCTGTAAAACCCATGGAAGGTTATTGTCTGCCAGAGCCAGCATCAAACATCTGAACTGTAGGCTTGATTTCTGAAGAGAGATGAGAAGGGGAGAGATGAGGAAAGACAATATGGAGGAAAGAGGAAAGACAAGGTACGAAGAAGAGAGGGAAGGAGGGATAGGAGAGAGGGCAAGACAACTATTAATGCCCATATAAAATAATCTACAATCTATCTGTGATGGAACTTGTGTGGGAAACTGACAGGGGCTGAGGAGGAAGAGGGGGCTGAGGAGGTCGTGAGGGAAGGTGGGAGTGTGGGAGCCCATACTGAAAAAAAAGCCATGAAAAAAGCACATAAAAAAATTAACTAGCAGTCAAAAGTTTGGACACACCTACTCATTCAAGTTCTTTTTTTTAAAACTATTTTTAACATTGTAGAATAATAGTGAAAAAAACAACTATGAAATAACACATATGGAATCATGTAGTAACAAAAAAATATTCTTCAAATAGCCACCCTTTGCCTTGATGACAGCTTTGCACACTCTTGGCATTCTCTCAACCAGCTTCATGAAGTAGTCACCTGGAATGTATTTCAATTAACAGGTGTTCCTTCTTAAAAGTTAATTTGTGGAATTAATTTTCTTCTTAATGCATTTCAGCCAATCAGTTGTGTTGTGACAAGGTAGGAGGGGGGTATACAGAAGATAGCCCTATTTGATAAAAGACCAAGTCCATATTATGGCAAGAACAGCTCAAATAAGCAAAGAGAAATGACAGTCCATCATTACTTTAAGACATTAAGGTCAGTCAATACGGAACATTTCAAGAGCTTTGAACATTTCTTCAAGTGCAGTCGCAAAAACCATCAAGAGCTATGATGAGACTGGCTCTCATGAGGACCGCCACAGGAATGGAAGACCCAGAGTTACCTCTGCCGCAGAGGATAAGTTCATTAGAGTTACCAGCCTCAGAAATTGCAGCCCAAATAAATGCTTCACAGAGTCATAGACACATCTCAACATCAACTGTTCAGACAGGACTGTGTGAATCAGGAGAGTGATGGAGTGCTGCATCAGATGACCTGGCCTCCACAATCCCCCGACCTCAACCCATTTGTGATGGTTTGGGATGAGTCGGACCGCAGAGTGAAGGAAAAGCAGCCAACAAATGCTCAGCATATGTGGGAACTCTTTGAAGACTATTGGAAAAGCATTCCAGGTGAAGCTGGTTGAGAGAATGCCAAGAGTGTGCAAAGCTGTCATCAAGGCAAAGGGGGGCTATTTGAAGAATTTGAAATATAAAATATATTTAGGTTTGTTTAACACTATTTTGGTTACTACATGATTCCATATGTGTTATTTCATAGTTTTGATGTCTTCACTATTATTCTACAATGTAGAAAATAGTTTAAAAAATAACGAAGAACCCTTGAATGAGTAGGTGTGTCCAAACTTTTGACTGGTACTGTATATTTTAGATTTAAAAAATATTACAGCTTTAAGACATTTTAAAGAAATTCCAACATATATTTCGGAATGTAGTTAAAATCTATATATAAATGTTTGTAAAAATGTATAACACAATATATGTTAAATGCATCGGAAAATGTATTTAAAGCATTTCAAAAGATATAAATGATATTTTTTTTTACATGTATTTATCAACCCGCTCTGTATTTGGAAATGTTTTGTAAAATATATTCCAACATGCATTTAAATTATTTTGTTGAAAATATGTTTTTAAATAAAAATATTTGGCAAATATTTTGTTTACAAATGGCCAAATCGTAATGTAGCAAAATGGTGACCGATTTAACAATGAAACTTCTGGAGGCTCTTTGGTATCATACACACTGTGGTAGAACATGCACTTATGTCAGCCTTGGATCACAGAGCACAACATAACACATTAACTGGCATGACAATCCCTCTCATGGGATGCCAAAAACATCTAAGTCATGCCCCCAAGAAGCCACGCCTCCAAGTCTTCTAATTGATGTCGCTATATATTTTGTCAAAATGCATTTTTATTGTACTTGACACATACTGTACCAAAAGCTCAAACATGCATTTAAATTACTACAAACATAATACATTATCGGTCATGTAGTGAGTCCATGTCTTTCATGTGCATATGAGGAATAAACAAACTAACTTGACGAGAGCATTGCAACCAACGTCCAACGGGCAGAACAACATGTACTGGGTCGTTCCACGAAATGAGTGCCATTTGCATCCCTTTCATATTTTAAGTAGAAATTGTGCACTAATATAGACTTTTTAAAAGCCTGTTATATTAAATGAAGTGCCCTTTAATATAGACCACATGGAGAATTCAATATACTAGATTTTCAATATGAACAGACTTCCTAAAGCGCCAAAATGCTGTATTTTGACATTTCCCTCTGAGCACCCTCTAGGAAGATTTTAACCCACTAACTAAGTTTTCCCCTTCATTGTAAATCCCTAGTTATTTTGTTGCTTTGACAAAGTTATTTCTGAAGATTATTATTTATTTAATGTGATTAGTGATTCATTTACATCTGTCCCACTCATTTTAAGGTCAACCCTGTTACATGAACTGAACTCTAGTAACTTCTTTCAAAAGAAACATTGAGCATCTAATAGTCAAATCATAGTGTAAAAGCAGGTAAGCTGGTTCTACTCTTTTTGGCCATATTTTGGTGTTTTGTGATGTAAAAAACAGAGCGGGTTGAGCTTAACATGTCAATCCTGTTACCCATAGATAGTGAGGATGGAAATGTATTAACAATTAAAAAAATTTGTGAATCTTGCATTGAATTGCCCCTCCCTGTTGCACACAACAAGCTTCCTTCCCCCCTGTCATAAGGGGAATCCATGGGTGATTTTAACTATAATTACCAGTTGGAGGGCCGTTCTAGTGTATCTTTCCCAGATGTGGTAAATTCCCACTTGGTTACGAACGCACCATAACAACGCTAACCATCCACTGTAGAGCCGTATTGGAAGCACAAAAATTACACCTACACTTTGACATATTGTGTAGCGTTGTACAATGTATAGTTTTTGTTTAAATCCATAAAAACGAAAAAAAAAAAAAATTTTTAAAAGAACAAAAATAAAACATTCATGCATGTCTTTGTATTGCCATATTATCAGCAGCTTATTGCATTTCTACATATTGAGTGTCGCTAATGACCTTTATATTAAAAGTGTTTATCACATGCTACCGTAGTGGTTGTAGAGTTTCTTTAACTTTCCAGCCTGCTCTATGCTCTAGCGCATGCACAGTAGCTACGCCATTAGATAAGATATGTAGCCAGGAGAAGTCGGAAGTTTACATACACTTAGGTTGGAGTCATTAAAACTTGTTTTTCAACCACTCCACAAATGTCTTGTTAACAAACTATAGTTTTGGCAAGTTGGTTAGGACATCTACTTTGTGCATGACACAAGTAATTTTTCCAACAATTGTTTACAGACAGATTATTTCACTTATAATTCACCGTATCACAATTCCAGTGGGTCAGAAGTTTACATACACTAAGTTGACTGTGCCTTTAAACAGCTTGGAAAATTCCAGAAAATGATGTCATGGCTTTAGAAGC